TTACCCCCTATAGCTGGAAGCAGAAAGAATTAGGGCTGCCCTAGTAGCTAACTTAGTGTGCTCCATGCTCACTTTTCTTTGACCCTTTCTTTTGATCTATAAATATTTTTAAATTCTTCCTGACCAGCACAAGCAATGCTATTTTAAAGTGAATGGATGTTAGCCAAAATGTTCTTGATTGGTTGATAATGTTTTTGTGATTTTGTGTATGTCCTCTGCTGTGTGGTCATGGGTGTTACTACTTTCAAACATCATTGATATTTTGTAAAAGTGTATTGTCAATAGACATTTGAATGTTGCATGTTGCCCAAAGGGATTTCATGTCTAAAGAACATACACTATTAATGAAGTAATTTAGAAGAAGATATTGGCTTGGCTTTAGATAAAACTGAGGCAAGAAAAATGTAAAAGCATGGTATGGAAATAAACATACTCTTGTTAAATGTATTGTTTTATAATGTTCTTAATAAAGTTGAATAGTCATACATTGGAATCACTACGGTTTGTTGACATGAAGTTAAAATATTTTCATGTAGATGATGTAAACAGCCATACATTGATAATGTGGGCACAGAGCATGGTCATTTGTCTACAAAATACTCCACTTTTCTGTTATTCCATTGTTATGACTTCAACTCTTTGCAACTCTTAGACATTGATGTTTGGAGGTCTTTTTTTTTTTTCCTTGAGATTTTATTTACTTATTTGAGAGAGAGAGAGATGGAGACAGAGCATGGGGATGGGAAGGCAGAGGGAGAGGGAGAAGCAGACTCCCCATTGAACAGGCAGCCCCACATGGGCTCAATCCCAAGACCCTGGGATCATGACCTGAGCTGAAGGCAGACACTTAACTGACTGAGCCACCCAGGAGCCTCTGATGTTTGGAGGTCCTTTAGTAAAATATGAATATCTCTAAGGGAACAGGATCTTCATCACATAAATGAGGTCTTTTGTGTTGACATAAATTCTAGTTTTCTTCTTAGTAGAACACCCAGTTTGATTGCAGGCAGGCAGAAGGGACTTTGGGCTTGTAAATAAGCCCTGGGTATAAAAAAGAGTGATTAGTAAGGAAGGTAGGGGAAAGTCAAAATTGAGTGTTCCACAATTTTACCCATGACCAGAATTGTATCTGGAAGACTAATTTTACAAGTCTTCATAAAATTGAGGATCTAAGAAGGAGATAGTAGGTAGTTATCATTTCAGAAACCAACTTAAAAAAAAAAATCCTTTACCTATTTCACTCACCCCCCCCCCCTTTCTGGCAATCATCAATTTGTTCTCTGTATTTGTCTCTTTGGATTTTTTTCATTTGTTTGTTCATTTGTTTTGTTTTTAAAATTCTACATATAAGTGAAATCATATGGTATTTGTCTTTGTCTCAATTATTTCACTAGTATGATACCCTCTAGATCCATCCATGTTTGGGATACCTGGGTGGCTCAACATGATCCAGGATCCAGGATGGGGTCCCACATCGGGCTCCCCGCATGGAGCCTGCTTCTCCCTTTGCCTATGTCTCTGCTTCTCTCTCTGTGTGTCTGTCATAAATAAATAAAGTCTTAAAAAAATAGATCCATCCATGTTGTCCCAAATTTCACCCCTTTTAAGGGCTGAGTAATATTCCATGGTATGTGTGTGTATACACCATGTCTTCTTTATCCAATCATCTATCCAGGGACATGTGGGTTGCTTTCATATTTTGGCTATTGTAAATAATGCTGCAATAATCATAGGGGTGCATACATCTTTTTCAATTAGTGTTTTTGTTTTTGGTAAATACCTAGTAGTGGAATTATTGGATCATATGGTATTTCTATTTTTATTTTTTTGAGGAACTTCTATACTGTTTTTCCCACTGGCTGCACCAATTTACAGTCTCAACAACTGTTTCAAGGATTCCTTTTTTCCCTATATACATGCCAACACTTGTTATTTCTTGTCTTTTTAATTCTAGCAATTCTGACAAGTGTAAGGTGATACTTCATTGTAGTTTGTTTGTTTTTTCCAATATTTTATTTATTTATTCATGAGAGACACAGAGAGGGAAAGGCAGAGACACAGGCAGAGGGAGCAGCAGGCTCCATACAGGGAGCCCGATGTGGGACTCGATCCCGGGTCTCCAGAATCAGGCCCCGGGCTGAAGGTGGCACTAAACCGCTGAGCCATCGGGGCTGCCCCTTCATTGTAGTTTTGATTTGCATTTCCCCCAACAATTAGTGATGTTGAGCATCTTTTCATGTGCCCATTGGCCATCTGTATGTCTTTTTGGAAAAATGCCTATTCAGGTCCTCTGCCCATTTTTTTTAAAAAAGATTTTATTTATTTATGAGAGACAAAGAGAGAAAGTGTGAGTGGGGAGAGAGGCAGAGACAAAGAATCTCAAGCAGACTCCACACTGAGCATGGGGCCCAATGCAGGGTTGACATGGGGCTTGATCCCATGGCCCATGAGATCATAACTGGAGCCAAAACCAAGAGTTGGATGGTCAACCTGCTGGCCAACCAGGCATCCTCTTCTGCCTATTTTTAATTGGATGATGATGATGATTATTATTATTATTATTTTTTGGTGTTGAGTTGTGTCAGTTCTTTATATATTTTGGATATTAACCCCTTATTGGATATATCATTTGCAAACATCTTCTCCCATTCAGTAGGTTAACTTTTTGGTTTGTTGTTAGTTTCCTTCACTGTGCAAAAATAGTGACATTTTTAAAAGAAATACATTCTTTCACTAGTTATTTGGTTATTCTGAAATACTGTTTTATACGGAAGACAAGACAGATGCTTGATTTTTTTTCACTTTTACCTACCAATTTTTAGAATAATGAGTTCGTGTCCTAGAAATCCTCAACAGTGATTAAAAATATCTCTTAAAAAGCATTATTATTAACTTATGATGGTTTTTCATATATATAATGTATTGTTTCAATGCACTAGAGTCATTATTACAATGTAATGGCCCCATCTTAATTGTCAGTAGGAGGCCCTTCAAGTTAATACCTTTATTGTTTTGACCCAGAATCAGACTGGTGTAAATCTCTCAGCAGGGCAGTGGTGAGTGGAAATTTTGTAGACCTAGACCTATATCTCACAGTTTCATTCTTTGACCTTGGATGGGACTCCAGTGGCCCGGATTCAGCAGTAGCAGCAGGCAATTATGTAAGCTACTTGACATCCTTCCAATGAATTCCATGGTATTTAAGCCAAGAATCCAATTGATCTAAGAGTAAAGGGCAGAAAAACAGGGAGACAAGTTAGGGTAAGATGGAATACAAAAGCAAGTTCAAAAGAGTGACTGCAATGTAACATCATTTATGTAAATTAAAACTACAAAATATAGTATATAAATAGTATAACTATAGCATCAGCAAATTTAATAGACTGTGGACCATATATCAAAATCATGGGAGTGCTTGTGTCTTGATTGGTGGAGTGAACAGGACCAAAGAGATGTAACTTTAGGTGGGGGGTTGGGGTGGGTAAAGGCGATTTTAGCTATGGAAGGAGTTACAAGCAGCTGGCCTGTGATCTACTGATTCCCTTCAGTACAGGGATGACTTGGGGGTTAAAGAAAAAAGCAGGTGACTCTCCTTGTCAATTGTACCTATTATATTTAGACACCCTGGGTAAATGAATGATATTTTCTAGAAGGAAGAGAACTTATCTATTTAATACATCTAACAGGATAGCCCTGGCCATAGGATTACTTATGCTAAATAAGCCCAGAATCTAGGAAGCATGGTTCCAGAACTAAGTAACTCTCTGGAATATAAAAGGAATTCTGTTAGGTACCTGAGAATCTCACTAGAGAACTAAACTATAGACCTAAACTATAGCAAGAGGGTATATTAGTCTGCTAGGGCTATAACAAACTATCATAACTCCCCACTCCCAACCCTCTAATTAGTTATATTAGTCCCCACAGACTGTCATAATAAGGTACTAAAGGCTAGGCAGCTTAAACAACAGAAAGCCATTTTGTCACAGTTCTACAGGCTGAAAGTATAAGATCAAAGTATCTGCAACTTTGGTTTCTCCTGGGGCCTTTCTCCTGGGCTTGCAGATAGTCACCTTCTGTTGTGTCCTCACATGGGCATCCCTCAGTACTTGCTTTCTGTGTCCTAGCCTTTTCTTGTAAAGACACCAGTCATGTTAACTAGGGCCAACCCATATGACTTCATTTTACCTAAATTACCTCTTTATAAGCCTTATCTCCAAATACAGTCATATTCCCTTCCGGGAGTCATATTCTCCCTTCTGGGAGCCTGATAAGGGACTCGATCCCAGGACCCCAGGACAAGACCAAGCCAAAGGCAGAAGCTCAACCACTGAGCTACTCAGGCACCCAATATATAAATTTGAAGGGACATAATTTAGCCTGTAACAGAGGTTATGTGTCCAATAGACTGTGGACATGTGAGATTTTCCAGACGGCTGATTCTGCTGAGCCTTTCCATGATCTGTATCTTTGAACTTACTGTTGAAATTTGATCCCGGGTAATATCTCTGATTCACGTGAATGTGAGCCTGATTGTTAGCTTAAGCTATATGTGTACCGTTTATTATTATTTTTTTTAAAGGAACAGTACTCTGAAAGCAAATATGAAAAAAAAATAATTGTGTCAGTCTGGATGTCTTCTTTATCATTCTTTGCAATTTTCTCCTCAAGTTTTTTTTTTTTTATTTTTTTAATAAAAACAAAACAAGAGAAGGAGGTGAGGCAGCTTACGTCTGGACAAAGGTAGGAACGTGAGCTGGAGAGCGACAGGCGGGTGCTTTAATAATTAAACAAGGAGGCCTTTAGATCCATGTGGTTCTAATGCCCAGGCAGCCTTACTAAACAACCCAAGATCCAACCCTGTCAATGCCTCAAGGTCATGAAATGGAACCTAAGAACAACCCATCACAAACAGCCAAGTAGATTTTAATCCATAGCTAGTCAATAATTTATTTGCTTTTCTCTATAAAAGCCACTCCCCAGCGCCTGTGGGTAGAGGCTCCTAACCCCTTTGCTTTTAGGTGCTGCTTCATTAGATCTTTTTTTTTTTTTCCATTGGATCTTTTGCTCAAAAAAATCTGCGCCCTTTTAACAGCGGATAGACAGAGAGGGAGGAGGCGAGAGCTCGCCGGAGCCCAGCGACCGGGAAGCCCGCAGACGGAAAGCAGCCCCCGGGAAAGGCCCCACGGCGGGGCGGGCCCGGCCAGGAGGCGGGGCGGCATCCGCCCAGTGCGCAGACTCCGGGGCCGGACGGCGCGCAGGCGCAGGAGACGCCGGCCGCGCGGGGCTGTCATGGCGCTGCGCGGGGTCTCGGTGCTGGAGCTGGCCGGCCTGGCCCCGGGCCCGCTGTGCGGCATGATCCTGGCGGACTTCGGCGCGCGGGTGGTGCGTGTGGACCGGCTGGGCGCCCGCGGAAACACGAACATCCTGGCCCGGGGCAAGCGCTCGCTGGTCCTGGACCTGCAGCGGCCGCAGGGGGCGGCGGTGCTGCGGCGCCTGAGCGCGCGGGCGGACGTGGTGCTGGAGCCCTACCGCCACGGTGAGCCCCGGTGGGCCCCGGCTGCTCCGCCGCGCCGCGGGGGGGGGGGGGGGGCGCCGGACCCGCTGCTGCTGCTGCTGCTGCTGCTGCTGCGCCGCCGCCGCTGCTGCCGCCGCTGCTGCCGCCGCTGCCCGCGGCCGTGCGGGGGCTGAGCTTCTAGAGTCGTCTGTGGACCAGGCGCCGCTGGCGCTGGGCTCCCGTACACGGGATCCCGGACACCGCTCTTGCCGTCTTCTCCTTGGACCCATTTCCCGCTCCTTCCCCGGTTCCTCGTTTTTCTGATCACCGATGTGTATTTAGGGGTCGTTTCTCTGCAGTTTTGGGGGTTGGTGAACCCTCTACAAGCCACCCCCCTGACCCAGGCTAACACTCCCTGCCTTATAAATCCCAAGTTCCAGCTTCTTCTTTTTTTTTTTTTTTCAAGATTTTTAGTTTATTTATTCATGAGCAACAGAGAGACACGGGCAGAGGGAGAAGCAGGCTCCACGCAGGGAGCCCGACGTGGGGCTCGATCCCCCGTCTCCAGGGTCACGCCCTGGGCCGAAAGCGGCACTAAACCGCTGGGCCACCCGGGCTGCCCAAGTTCCAGCTTCAGATCAGTTTAGTGTACACTCTGCTTCCTGGAGCCACCTTATCTATTCCGACTGTTTTCACTTCTTGTAGATGATGACCAAGCCTATAATTTGTGCCCCCTGCCGCCCCCCCCCCCAGAGCCACCGGCTGCTGGAATACACACACCGTGCACGTCTCTTAACTGGCTGCCCCCCAGGCATGGCAACTTCCACAAATCCCAAAACAGTTGCACTATCTTACCTCCTAAAATAGCATCTCCTCCTTTTTTTTTTTTAATTTTTTTCTTTTATTGGAGTTCAATTTGTCAACATATGCATCTCCTCCTTATATATATATATATATAATATATAATTATATATTATATATATATATATAATATCTCAGGAAATGGAGCCAATACCCACCCAGTTGCCTGAATCAGAAACCTGCACTCCGACCGTAACTCCAAATACTCCACTTCATATGCTTTGTTACCAGGAATCCAGACGTTCTTCTTCCTTTCTCTGGCTTAGGCTTTACTTTCCATACTTGCTGTAGCTTCCTTCGCACTGTCGTAACAGCTTTTTGAAAGCGGATGTTGGGGATCTAGCCCCACTTGGATCCCTTCTCAGACAGCTGCCAAGGTAATCTTGCTCAAGTACTAAACCAAAGCCTTGCTTGATACATAGCAGGAAGTCAGTAAATGTCTGGTGAATGAATTGAATGTCTGTAGGGTACCAGACATCTTAAATGTGTTAATTCATTTATGCTCACAGCAGATTGGGATGTAATAATTTCATAATTAGGATTGTGTCCCAATATAATAATGCCCTTTTTAAGGATGGAGGCTCAACATGATTGACTCCAGGCTCTTGGCAATTAGGAGGAAAGTAGAACCACGTATACAGACTTAGCTGCTGGGTGAGACAGTTGGGGCTGGGGTGTGTTTAGGCAGAGGACTAGAGTTTGTTTGTTTGTTTTTGTAATTTACATAGCTTTAGGAAGACACAGTAAAAATATAATCTTTATTATTTCTTTTTTTTTTTTTATATAAATTAATTTTTATTGGTGTTCAATTTACCAACATACAGAATAACACCCAGTGCTCATCCCGTCAAGTGTACCCCTCAGTGCCCGCCACCCACTCACCCCCACCCCCCACCCTCCTCCCCCTCCACCACCCCTAGTTCATTTCCCAGAGTTAGAAGTCTTCATGTTTTGTCTCCCTTTCTGATATTTCTCACACACTTCTTCTCCCTTCCCTTATATTCCCTTTCGCTATTATTCATATTCCCCAAATGAATGAGAACATACACTGTTTGTCCTTCTCCGGTTACTGTGGCCAAGTTCAAAAAGGGTGTTGCCTGAGTTCTTCTCTGGGATTTTGATGGAATCTTGTCTCACATTTAGATCTTTCATCTATTTTGAGTTTATCTTTGTGTATGGTGCAAGAGAGTGGTCCAGTTTCATTCTTCTGCATGTGGATGTCCAATTTTCCCAGCACCATTTATTGAAGAGACTGTCTTTCTTCTAGTGGATCGTCTTTCCTCCTTTATCGTATATTAGTTGAGCATAAAGTTCAGGGTCCACTTCTGGGTTCTCTGTTCTGTTCCATTGATCTATATGTCTGTTTTTGTGCCAGTACCACACTGTCTTGATGAACACAGCTTTGTAGTACAACCTGAAATCTGGCATTGTGATGCCCCCAGATATGGTTTTCTTTTTTTAAAATTCCCCTGGCTGTTTGGGGTCTTTTCTGATTCCACACAAATCTTAAAATAATTTGTTCTAAGTCTCTGAAGAAAGTCCATGGTATTTTGATAGGGATTGCATTATACGTGTAAATTGCCCTGGGTAACATTGACATTTTCACAATATTAATTCTGCCAATCCATGAGCATGGAATATTTTTCCATCTCTTTGTGTCTTCCTCAATTTCTTTCAGAAGTGTTCTGTAGTTTTTAGGGTATATTTTGAGAACCATTTGAATGGTAAATGGTTCTCCAATCTTTTATTTTCAGGTTGTAGGTGTCCTTCTGTCTAAAATGAGTCTCTTGTAGACAGCAAATAGATGGGTCCTGTTTTTTTATCCAGTCTGAAACTCTGCGCCTTTTGATGGGGTCATTAAGCCCATTCACGTTCAGAGTTACTTGAACTTCTTCTTAAAGGGGAGTTTTAAGAGTCCCCCTTAAAATTTCTTGCAGAGCTGGTTTGGAGGTCACATATTCTTTCAGTTCCTGCCTGTCTTGGAAGCTCTTTATCTCTCCTTCCATTTTGAATGAGAGCCTTGCTGGATAAAGTATTCTTGGTTGCATGTTCTTCTCATTTAGGACCCTGAATATATCCTGCCAGCCCTTTCTGGCCTGCCAGGTCTCTGTGGAGAGGTCTGCTGTTACCCTAATATTCCTCCCCATGAAAGTCAGGGACTTCTTGTCTCTTGCTGCTTTAAGGATCTTCTCTTTATCTTTGGAATTTGCAAGCTTCACTATTAGATGTCGAGGTGTTGAACGGTTTTTATTGATTTTAGGGGGGGATCTCTCTATTTCCTGGATCTGAATGCCTGTTTCCCTTCCCAGATTGGGAAAGTTTTCAGCTAGGATTTGTTCAAATACATATTCTGGCCCTCTGTCCCTTTCGGCGCCCTCGGGAACCCCAATTAAACGTAGGTTTTTCTTCCTTAGAGTGTCATTTATTTGCCTTAATCTGTCTTCATGGTTCTTTAATTGTTTATCTCTTTTTTCCTCAGTTTCCCTCTTTGCCATTAACTTGTCTTCTATGTCACTCACTCGTTCTTCCACCTCGTTAACCCTCGTCGTTAGGACTTCTAGTTTGGATTGCATCTCATTCAATTGATTTTTAATTTCTGCCTGATTGGATCTAAATTCTGCAGTCATGAAGTCTCGTGAGGCCTTAATGCTTTTTTCTAGAGCCACCAGTAGCTGTAGAATAGTGCTTCTGAATTGGCTTTCTGACATTGAAGTGTAATCCAGATTTTGTAACTCTGTGGGAGAGAGGGCTGTTTCTGATTCTTTCTTTTGAGGTGAGGTTTTCCTTCTAGTCATTTTGCTCAGTGCAGAGTGGCCAGAAACAAGTTGTATTGGAACACGGGGGAGTATCACTGGTCCGTCCAGCTGGTCTTCTGGGGGAGGGGCCTGCTGTGCTGATTTTCAGGTGTTAGCACTTGGGGGAGCTGCTCTGCCCCTGCCTGCTGCAGGGCTCAGCGGGGGTTGTTTACCCGGTGGGGCCCCAGGAGGAACAGTCGCAGTTGCTATGGCAACTCTGGAAGCCTGGATTCAGCCTCCGCAGGAACAACGGGGCTCGGGGCTCTCGGCTCTCCGTCCGCAGGGCCTGGAGGCTCCGGGGCGGGGCCGCTGATCTGCTCAGCTCGGGGCAGGAGCGTCCTCGCTGTCCTGGGCCCTCCCGGCCTCTGCCTGTCCCGGGGAGGCCGGATCCTGGGCTGTGTCCCGGCGCCCTGTGCTCCGGGGCCTGCGCTGTTGGATTCGCGCTCCCGCCCCGCAGCCCCTCCCTGGAGCCGCTCCCGAGCCCCTCCGAGCTGCTCCGGTCGGTCCCCGCCGTGCGCGCTGCAGCCCTTAGGGAGCTCGGCGCACTCTCCTGCGCTCAGGTGTCTGTTAGTGTCCCCGGGAGCCCGAGGGCATCCCCGTCCTCCTGGGTCCTGCTCCAACTCCCTGCGAGCCCCTTTCCGCCCGCCCGGGAAGGTTGGTGCAGCTCCTGCTCCTCCGGGACGGGGCTCTCCTGTCCTGGGGACACTCGCCCCGGCCTCAGCCCGGCTCCTCGCGGGGCCCCTCCCCCTCGGAGGCCTTTTGTTTCTTTATTTCTTTTTCCCCGTCTTCCTACCTTGATAGAAGCGCGAACTCTTCTCGCTGTAGCATTCCAGCTGGTCTCTCTTTACATCTCAGGCCGAATTCGTAAATTTTCAGGATGGTTTGAAGGTTATCTAGGTAATTTGGTGGGGACAGGTGATTTGGGGACCCTGCTCTTCCGCCATCTTGCCCCTCCCCCTCCTCTTTATTATTTCTAATCCCAGGTGATTTAAAATACTAGTTATTTGGATTTTGTCCAGTAAATATGGTACTTACTGATAAGAGCTCTTAGACGCTTATTTTAGCAAATCTTTTCATAGATATTTGCAAGCCTTTTGTGAAGATCCCCATACCAGGCACTTGAGAGCCCTGAGGAAACAGGTATGAATCCTACCAGGGGAACTTCTAAGATGATAGAGAAGATAGTGGTGTATATACAAACATAAACACAGCATGAGGTAGAAGGTGGTAGGTAATGATGCAGAGCACAGAAAAAGAAGATCTTAAAAAGGATAGCCGCTTTCAAAAGTATATTTTTGACCAATCAAGCCCCAGGGTAACTGTTCCAAGAGAACAAACCAAACATTAAGAGAAGAAGACAAATCATGAGAGACTCCTAATTGGAAGGCAAAGGGTTGCAGTAGGAGAGATGGGGGAGACGGGGGATAGGGTAACTGGGTGATGGGCATTAAGGAGGGCACATGATGAGATGAGCACCTGGTATTATAGTGTATGTTGACAAATTGAATTTAAATAAAATAAAAATTTAAGAAAATGAACAAAACATTTTTTTAAAGATTTATTTGAGAGAGAGAGAGACAGAGATAGAGGCAGAGAGCCCAAGTGGGGAGGAGAGGGAGAAGCAGGCCCCCATTGAGTGGGGAGCCCGATGCACGGCTGGATCCCAAGGACCCCGGGCCTGACCTGAGCTGAAGGCAGATGCTTAACCGACCGAGCCATCCAGGTACCCCAAGAACAAACCATTTCTGATAAATGACCAAGGAGAAGATTTGGGGAACCATAAAGGTACTGACCTAAGGAATGCAAGGCCCATTGTGGGGATTAAAAGAACTTGGATATGCCTGAAGGGAAAGAAGCTAGGCCTGGAAGGAAATAGTATTCTGGAGCAAAAGTCACACATTCTAAAAATGGTGACCTCATTCATTGTGTCCTTAAGTATTGGAAACTTGCTAAAACCCATAAAACGTGTTATTAGTATGACTTGCAAGAGTGCCATTTTATATTTGCCAGAGAGACGGGATTACACCCATCCTCAATTCATCCCTCTTTAAGAAAAAAAATCATTGTTAATTTTCTCTTAAGGTGTCATGGAAAAACTCCAGCTAGGCCCGGAGATTCTGCAGAGGGAGAATCCAAGGCTTATCTATGCCAGGTTGACTGGATTTGGCCAGTCAGGAAGATTCTCGAAAACAGCAGGCCATGACATCAACTTTTTGGCTTTGTCAGGTAGGTAGACAAAGTAAGTTCTCTGTACTTACCATTTTGTTCCCAATTGAGATTGACAGTTATACTAACTACAAAGAATATGTAAAGGTGCAGACTTAATTAAATATTTATCATAATCAGGTGACCATGGCTGGCTTAGTCAGTGGAGCATGTGATTCTTGTTCTCGGGGTTGTGAGTTCAAGCCACACATATTGCATGGAGCCTAGTTAAAATTTAAAAAAAAGGAAGGGGGGATTGGTTTGTCTTAGAAGAATTATTCTCAACCCTTTTCCCCCTGTCTTAACACATTTGAGGAATAATGTACTCTCCTAGTAACATTTACTTATTACATTTGTATGATCGATTCTCAGGCAAGCCCCTGTCAGGGAGTAAGAGATACGGTGATAATAGAGGTGATTGTTCTGTAATTTGAAAATGCTTATATTGTTTGCTATTTCATTAAGAATGATTGCCTGAGGGGACGCCTGGGTGGCTCAGCAGTTTGAGTGGGTGCCTTTGGCTCAGGGCATGATCCCGGAGTCCCAGGATCGAGTCCTGTGTCGGGCTCCCTGTATGGAGCCTGCTTCTCCCTCTGCCTGTGTCTCTGCCTGTCTCTCTCTGTCTGTCTCTCATGAATGAATAAATAAAATCTTTAAAAAAAAATGAATGATTGCTCGAGTTACCATTTTAGACTTCAATGAATACCTGTAGTTTTCAGGTCATTATTATCACTTTATTAGAATTTTTGCCTGTGAGAACAAGTCTTAAAATGACCCAATCCTAGGGTTTCCTAAGAAACTGTGTTTTTGAGTAAAGAAAGTCTAACATTTCCTGTGAGTACAAATCCAAGGTAGAGGAAAAGAGTGAGGATGAAATTGTTTTTTCCAGCTATTTTAAAATGGAATCACTTTTCTTTTCCTTATGTTTATTTTCCTGCATCTCTTTCTAATAAGAATGGAAGTGGATTATACTGTTGTTAAGCCATAAGATAAATTGATAACAATATTTTTTTCCCTGAAACTAGTGAGCAAAGACTTAGCAATAAAATCCTGAAAGCGTTAGTTGCAATAACGTTTTAAAGAAGAAAAAAACGAAAAACAAAACAAGGAGCCTTGTTGGGGGAAAAGCCTGCTTATAAATATGCTAAATAGTTTAGATTTGGAAAAGCATTATGTATTAGTATTCACTATAGTAGCAACTAGAGAGATTGGTTATTCCTTTTACAGTGTTCATGTATTTATTTAAAATAGGCATTAAATCTATGGGTACTATTCCCTGATGTTATTTAATAATATAGGTGTTCTGTCAAAAATTGGCGGAAGTGGTGAGAATCCTTATGCCCCACTGAATCTCCTGGCTGACTTTGGTGGTGGTGCCCTCATATGCACACTTGGTATCTTGATGGCTCTGTTTGAACGCACACGCTCTGGTAAAGGTCAGGTCATCGATGCAAACATGGTAAGTGTTAATTAGGGGAAGTGATAAGTCTACCAGTTATTCCTAAGTATGATAGGCAGCTGCCTCAGATTCTTTTCTGAACATGACAAGAGATCATTGAGATTTGAAGTTTGAACCCAATTACCAAGGATATCCTTTTCTTTAAAATAGCTTCATATCCTTTATGTGTGTTGGAACATCATAATTGATTATCTGTTTGTGGAGTCAACTTTCTAAACTTTTCATGGCTCATCTAATTCCTGTGTTTCAACAGTTTTCCCCACGCTAATTCTTGTGCTTAGAATATAGTTTTCAGGCATTCTTCATTTAAAACTGGGCTCAGGAAATCTCCCTTAGCAGATAGAAAAGATTCTTAAGAGTTCAAAAGTAAGGGACGCTTGGGTGGCTCAGCAGTTTAGTGCCTGCCTTTGGCTTAGGGGGTGATGTGATCCTGGAGTCGCAGGATGGAGTCCCACATCTGGCTGCCTTCTCCCTCTGCCTCTCTCTGTATCTCTCATAAATAAATAAATAAGAAATAAAATCTTAAAAAAAGAAAAGAGTGCTAAAGTAAAATGGGCCAGTCTAGACCTTCCTTCTACATTTTTAGGGGAGACTCCAACGTTGTGAGGTTTTGGTTTTTTCACTGTCATGCATTGAGCACATGCCTCGTGTTATGCTAGGCACTTTCCCTGTGTGATTTCTCCTAATCCTCAAAATAGCAGTTTCACTAAGAATGCGTTTTTTTAAAGAGGAGGAAACCAAAGCATCAAAATTTGCCCAAGTTCTCAAAGCCACAGGGGAGGAGCCCAATCCAGCACCATTACAGGTTTGCATTTAGATAGGTCTTTGGAGGGAGAATGGAGATGGATGTGAGGAAGACAAGACTGGAGACAGAGAGTTACTGGGTTGTTGCTGAGAGAGAAGCACAAGTGTTGAAGTCATTGGTGGTAGAATGAGCCTGGATTTAAGGGATATTTATATTTGAGATGTAAAATTGCCAGGATTTGGTGATGCATTGGCAGTGAGGGGAGTGGAAGGGGTCAAGGGTGACTCTCCTGTTTTGTTTTTTTTTTTTTTTAAGATTTACATATTGGAGAGAGAGAACTTGTGTGCATGTGTGCACATTAGTGAGGGGAGAGGGAGAGGAAGAGAGAGAATCCTCAAGGTGACTCCCTGCTGAGCAGGAACCCCAAAGCAGGGCTCGATCCCAGAACCCTGAGATCATGACGTGGTTGAAATCAAGAGTTGGCCACTTAATGAACTGAGCTACCCAGGCACCCTGACTCCCCTGTTTCTGGCATGGATGATTTGGTGGGTGCTGTCACTGGTACCAAGGAAGGCAGGGTGAGTTAGTGGGTAAGAGCACGATTCTAGCAGCCTGCTTCATCCACCACAGCTCTGCCAAGGACTAGCTCTGCGATATATATTTATTTATTTATTTTGTTTATTTATTTTATTTTATTTTATTTTATTTTATTTTATTTTATTTTATTTTATTTTATTTTATTTTATTTTATTTTATTTTATTTTATTTTATTTTATTTTATTTTATTTTATTTTATTTTATTTATTTTATTTATTTATTTATTTATTTATTTATTTATTTATTTATTTATTTATTTATTTATTTATTTATTTATTTATTTATTTATTTATGATAGTCACACACAGAGAGAGAGAGAGGCAGAGACACAGGCAGAGGGAGAAGCAGGCTCCATGCACCGGGAGCCCGATGTGGTATTCGATCCCGGGTCTCCAGGATCGCGCCCTGGGCCAAAGGCAGGCGCCAAACCGCTGCGCCACCCAGGGATCCCTAGCTCTGTGATCTTTGGTAGGGTGCTAACGTCGCTGTGCCTTAGCTTCTTCCTTGTAAAATGGAGATAACAATGGTACCTACCTCAGCATCATTAGAGAACTGAATGAATTTATCCGTTCAGGTTCTAAACAATACCTGGCATAGAGGAGGTACTCTGTGAGAATTTGGTATTATTATCTTAAAAGGAATTCAGTTTGGCTCATTTCAAGTTTGAAGTTGCTTTCAGATATTCAGGTACAATGAATCCTCAAAGTTAAAGACTAGAAACAATTTTAGAGGCATTTGGGAGCCACCTGAGACTGTTTGAAGAGTGCTTGAAGAGTGGGCAGGAGAGGAGAAACAGGGCTAAGGAGAGCAAAGTAGAGAACCATAGAGTGTTTCTACGGAAGCAAAGGAAAGAGAGCTTAAAAAAAAAAAAAAAAAAAAGAATGATTAGAGGGTCAGATGTTGGTGGAAACCTCAAGAGCTTAGATCTGAATGGTATAAGTTGTATTTGCCATTGGTGACCTTTTACAAAAGTCATTTCCAGGGCCCTCATCTTGGGCCTTGGCTTGCACTGCCTTCTCAAAGGCTAACCCCTGTGCTATTTCTGTGTCATCTGATACTCTTATCAAAACCCACTCTATGGACATGGTCACTGTGGTCCAAAAAGAATGAGCTAAAAACAAACATTGGACCTTGGGAGTTTTAAGGAGAACTTAAGGTTACTCAAGTATTATTAAATACTTAATAATAATTTGAATAATTTACTAATGTAATTGCTCATTTATAGTCAAATAGAAATAAAAGATAATTGCTGCTTTCATCAGACTGTGTCTAATTAGAGTTACATGATGATTAGGAAGATAGGTTTTTAATATATATGGAAATGCAAACTTGATTCAGGGTTCGTGTTGTATCAGGGTAAAATGAGTGTTGGCTAATAACTCAAGGCCTAATGGATTAGTAAAGCATGGCATTCTTTACTTTCTGATCTCTGGGAACCCTTGTAATACAAAATAGTTTTAGAAGCTGATTAGTGGGAACAGATACCTTATTCTTTTTTTTTTTTTTAAGATTTTATTTATTTATTCATGAGAGACACAGAGAGATAGAGAGGCAGAGACACAGGCAGAGGGAGAAGCAGGCTCCATGCAGGGAGCCTGATGTGGCACTCGATCCCGGGATTCCGGGATCACGCCCTGTGCCAAAGGCAACGCCCAACTGCTGAGCCACCCAGGTGTCCCCAGATACCTTATTTTTTTAGGCCATAGTTTTCAGATGTTTTTAGCAACAGAATCCTTGACTCAGGCCTGCCTATGATGTCCTGAAGTCATCTCCTTGGAAACTGTCAAGTTAAAACTGAGAAACATGACATCTGTTTTCCTGTGTTTGTTGTCCCTGATCTGGGGATGTGTACTTGACTTCAGCTGGGGTGGCTGTGCCCTGGCACATAGGCTGTTGTCCCACATGATGAGAACAGTATAAAAGGTGGGGAAATTGAGGCTGCAGTTTTCCTGTGTCAAAAAGCTCTTGTTAGCTTCTCCACATGTGGGTGAAGGGCAAGAGAAGCCATATGTCTGGGTAGCATAAGGAAGTGAGGATTGTAACTGCTCTGTTTCTGTCCTGTATTCTCCTGTGGCCCCAAATAAAGGAAGGATTAAATAGTGCCTCTCTGTGTCCTGAATGGGCCAAATTGGACCCATAACTGTATTAGTGCATCTTTTGTCAACAGACTCATCAGTATATCTGGTATATAAAAGAAATTATATATAAATATGTATACACACGTGTGTGTACGTGTATGTATCATTCTGTGTGGTATATCATTCTATGTGAATGTGTATATGTATAAATATGGGGACTCTCCAAAATCTTTGTAACCCAGTTTCAAAAAAAGCATCTCTTTAGGCCACTAATCCAAAATACCCATACTATTTGGTATGTGAGATGTAGGAGCCATAAATTGAGATATACATGAGATTTCAAGTTAAAAGGGAAAATTGGGATGTATCTAAAGATATATTTTGCATTTCTTTCACAGCCAGTAACTGATAAATTCCATAGGCCCACCCCATTCCAACTCCTGGAGATGAGGATGCTTTGATGGCCTTCTCCTGGGGTACTAGAATCATTAGGATTAGAAAGCCATAAGGATAGGGAAGTAGTCTTCTTTGGATAGTCCAGTGCATGCAGCCTGTAACATTTGTACCTAAGGATATGAATCCTTTCCTGTTACTTCACCATTCAGTGGGAAGTTGGCATTCCCAAACTAGTTTGTATGGACTCAGAAAACTTGTTTATAAGTGCCACTTACATTTTCTGTTTATTTTGTAACTTTCTAGTGATTGTTAAAATTAGAATATGTTAAATACTCAAATATAATTTTCTTGGGCTTGAAATCAAACTAGAATAAGTGAAATTTAACTGTAATATGATTTACCATTATAATGTGATATGCTTCATATATTTACATGTATGTGTTTATAGATATTGAGATCAGAAGATTTTTAAAAACCGGTTTTATTTTTAACTTTTTATCCTGTTATTTTTTAACATACATAATTATATAGAGAGTATTTAATGAACTTCCATGTGCCCTCACTTGGCTTAAAAAATTGTCAACATTTGGCAGTTTTATTTGAAAAGGAGAACAAAAGTAGTTCCTTCTATGTCTTTTCTGAAAAGTACCTTCTAACCTAAATAGTGGAGAAATCCTGTATCATAAATCTGTTCTAACACATTTCACTGAAATATCAAAGAAGTTGTATAATTAGATACAGTCTTCCTATACTCAAACATTTTTATACAAATGTTGAAAAAATATTAAGTGGAAATTAATCATGCTTTTACAGTTTAAATACCTGGATTCATAGTGTATGCTGTTTCTTCTTTAAAGGTGGAAGGAACAGCATACCTGAGTTCTTTCCTGTGGCATTCTCTACAAATGGGGCTGTGGGAAAATCCTCGAGGACAGAATTTATTAGATGGTGGAGCACCTTTCTACACAACTTATAGGACGGCAGATGGGGAGTTCATGGCTGTTGGAGCATTGGAACCCCAGTTCTACAAGCTGCTGATCAACGGTGGGTAACTTTCATGTGCCTCCTCCACTTCCCCTTTTCTTGTGGATATTCTTTAACCTCTATCTTGGAACATTTTGAAATTCATTATGTCTTTTATTATGTGTCTACCTTATAATTGACCTAATTATAGCCATCATTATATTGTGGGCATTTCCCTTATGTTTTGAAAGGACAGGTAATTTGACAAGTCTGTAGAATAGCTCAGAGTTTAAAAAAAGTATCCATTTTGTAGAAGTGTTTTTTTTTTTTTTTTTTAAGATTTTATTTATTTATTCATGAGAGGCAGAGACATAGGCAGAGGGAGAAGCAGGCTCCATGCAAGGAGCCCAGCGTGGGACTCGATCCCAGGTCTCCAGGATCATGCCCTGGGCTGAAGGTGGCGCTAAACCGCTGAGCCCCCCGGGCTGCCCTAGAAGTTCAATTTTTTATTGCATTTCATACTCGAGAATTGGATGTTTATATTGCCCTGTGTGCCCACATATTATTCTTCCTTAGAAATGACCTGCTGGTTCCACAGTTCTTATTCCTTGATAGATGTCACCTATAATCTTTTAGTGTCAGGGGCCACCTGGGCACCTGTTATTAGGACATTTTTATTACTTATCCTTTAGTAAGTATTGCATGGAAGTTATTCAGGGAACTCCCAATTTTATAGTCTCACCCCAATGTTTTCTTTTAAAATTTTAATAGTTTCAGCACTCACATTTAAGTCTCTGTTACATTATGAGTTAATTTTTATATATGGGGTGAGGTAAAAGTCCAACTTCATTGTTTTGCATATGGCTATCCAATTTTCCCAGCACTGTTCGTCAAAAAGACTGTTCTTTCTCCATTGAATGGTTTTGGCATCCTTGTTGAAAATCTGTTGACCATAAGTATAAGGGTTTATGTTGGGACTTGATTCTGTACCATTGATGCACATGTCTCTCCTTATGTTAGCACCATGCTGTATTGATCACTGTGGCTTTGTAGTAAGTTTGAAATTAGAAAGTATGAGTCTTCCAATTTTGTTCTTTTTCAGGATTGTTTTGGCTATTCAGGGCCCTTACCATTTCCATATGTATTTTAGGATCACCTTGCCAATTTCTGCAAAAAAGGGATTTTTGAGAGGGGTTGTGTTGAATCTGAGCATCAGTCTGGGGGTTATTGCCATTTTACTAATATTAAGCCGTAATATCTATGAACATGGGATGCTTTTCATTTATTTGGGTCTATAATTTCTTTCAGTGATTCTTTGTAATTTTCAATGCATAAAACCTACACTTATTTGGTAAAATTTATACTGAAGAATTTTACTATTTTTTATATTATTGTAAATAGTATCATTTTTGTTTTGTTCATTACTAGTATATAGAAATATATAGTATATAGTGATTTTTGTATATTGGCCTTGTTTCTTAACCTCATTGAGCTCATTTGTTTGTTCTAAGTGCGGATCTCTGATTTTATCTTGCTTGAGTTCCTGGAGATTTTTGGATGTGCAGTTAATTTGTTTTTCATCAAATTTGGGAATTTGCCAGACATTATTTCCTCAAGGATTTTTTTTCTGCCTTTTCTGTCTCTCTTCTTCTGAGACTTATGTTGTGTGTGTGTACACATTTAATTTTATTATAACAAAGTGACTTGTACATTTTTAACATTTAAACTGAGCATCATCTTTCCAGTGAAACAAAAAGAAAATTTAAAAAGAAACAGGAACAAAATTAAAATAGAGAATGTCAATTTCAAATAAGATCCTACAGGTTCTGCTGATTCTCCCTTTATGTGGCAGGGCTCAAGTTATCATTAGAGAATTTTATTTTAAAAGTGTCATTTTTTTTTATTGATAGTCCATGTTTATTATTTAAAAAAATTTATTTAAATTTAATTTGCCAACACATAGTACAACACTCAGTGCTCATCTCATTATGTGTCCTCCTTAGTGCCTGTCACCCAGTTACCCTATCCTCCCACCCACCTCCCCTTCTGTTACTTTTTTGTTTCCCGGAGTTAGGAGTCTCTTATTGTTTGCCTTCTTCTTTAATTTTTCCCCACTTAGTTCCCCCCCCTTCCCTATGGTCCCTTTCACTATTTCTTATATTCTACAAATGAGTGAGATAGTATGATAATTGTAAAAGTGTCATCTTAAGATGCAAGGATAGCCATTAAACATCATAATTAAACCTGCCAAAGAAGAAGCCATGTTGTCAAAATGCTCACTTAACCCACCAAAATACCTCAAACCCACCCTTTGCTGACCCTCAATAACCCCATTTTTTGAAGTTTTTTTTCCTTTTTTTTTTTTTTAACAAGAGAAAGTAGACAGATACATGTTGGTAAGTGCTAACTGTCCATATTCACAAAGAGAGACAGTATAACCTCCGAGCTCCGTATACAGAGAAAGGAGGAAAAAAGCTGGAATTCTACGCACTATCACACAGGGCTCTAGCACCCTTCAGCTTCCAGTTGAGCTAAAGAAGCAGGTTTTTATTTTTTCCCACAGAGCACAGTGGCATTGATTCCATAAAGTTTTTGTTGAGACAGAAAGGGATAAAAATAAATTTGGAACAAAAAGGGGTACACATTCTTTTCCCTCTGTATTCTACTCAAGGTATTTCCCTTCAAAATAAGTTGAGAACCATGGTATAAAGGAAGAGAAAAAAAGACTTAAAAAAAAAAAAAAAACAGGGCAAATCAGCACCAGAGTAGAAAAAAAGAGAGAGAGATAGACTGCAACTTGCCCCAAAGGGACTGGAGAAAATTAAAAAGGAAGGTTAGACTCCATCAGTGTTCCATTAGTCCTCTTCTTCTTCATCCTCTTCTCCTCACCCCCCCATCATCATCTTCATCTTCTTCACCTTCATCCTCATTTCCTTCTTAATATCTTCCATACCTTCTTCTTCATCGTCATCATCCTTTTCTCTCTTCATCATCTGTATCAGGAACCAACTAGTACTATAATGGATTTGGCCAAATGTCATCTTTGATGACCTCTCCTAACTCATCTGCACCTGCATCAGAATGATAGTAAACCAGGTGAAGAAATTCTCTGGTTCCTCATGCTGTCTTTTCCTGCTGGCTTTATTCTGTTTCACTTGAACATTTCATCAAATCCTTTCCAGATTTCCATTTGATTTTGGTAGACTTTGAAGGTAGATCACCACTCTCATTCAGATGAAATTATTTGGAGAGAACTTTATGGATTTTCACCAAAATAATATTCTGGTCTGTAACCTGATTTAATGTCTTCAAATTCTGTCACTGCGGCTCTTGTCAAATAATGTAACACCTCTTCATCCTCCTCCTCAAGCAGTGCAGATACTTGTGGGTGGTTGACAAATTTGGAACTTTGGCAATCAGTTCTGACTCTTCTGAAAAATGGTTGGCAGAGTTTGTTATATTTCTGTTCTACTTTCAAAATCTCCTCATTGTCTTGTTCATTAAATCTGCCTGTTTCATTTTGTACTTCATCAACATGTTCAATTGCTTGCTGTTGTTTTTCTCCCTCTAGCAAGTGCTGCGAAGTTGACATTTTCCTCTGGCTTGGAGGCAGGAGGCAGTCTCAGTTTCCTGGTTTGAGGTAGGAGCGAAGACTGGCATTTGGGGGCCAGGCTTTGAGGAAAGTCCAGGAAACAAGGGCAGAGGCATGTGTGGAAGAAGCTCCAACTGGAGCTTATGTTGGTATTCTCGATGGTACCATGGTGTCCTCTTGATCTCTGAGGTTCTGTTCATTTTTCTTTTCTTTTTTCTTTCTGTTCCTCAGGCTGGATAAGCAGTTTACTTCTTTTTTTTTTAATTTTTTTTAATAAATTAATTTTTATTGCTGTTCAATTTACCAACATACAGAATAACACCCAGTGCTCATCCCGTCAAGTGTCCCCCTCAGTGCCCGTCACCCATTCACCCCCACCCCCGCCCTCCTCCCCTTCCACCACCCCTAGTTCATTTCCCAGAGTTAGAAGTCTTTATGTTCTGTCTCCCTTTCTGATATTTCCCACGCATTTCTTCTCCCTTCCCTTATATTCCCTTTCACTATTATTCATATTCCCCAAATGAATGAGAACATACACTGTTTGTCCTTCTCCGATTGACTTACTTCACTCAGCATAATACCCTCCAGTTCCATCCACGTTGAAGCAAATGGTGGGTATTTGTCGTTCCTAATGGCTGAGTAATATTCCATTGTATACATAAACCACATCTTCTTTATCCATTCATCTTTCGATGGGCACCGAGGCTCCTTCCACAGTTTGGCTATTGTGGACATGGCTGCTAGAAACATCGGGGTGCAGGTGTCCCGGCGTTTCATTGCATCTGAATCTTTGGGGTAAATCCCTAACAGTGCAATTGCTGGGTCGTAGGGCAGGTCTATTTTTAATTCTTTGAGGAACCTCCACACATTTTTCCAGAGTGGCTGCACCAGTTCACATTCCCACCAACAGTGTAAGAGGGTTCCCTTTTCTCGAGCATCCTCTCCAACATTTGTTGTTTCCTGCCTTGTTAATTTTCCCCATTCTCACTGGTGTGAGGTGGTATCTCATTGTGGTTTTGATTTGTATTTCCCTGATGGCAAGTGATGCAGAGCATTTTCTCATGTGCATGTTGGCCATGTCTATGTCTTCCTCTGTGAGATTTCTCTTCATGTCTTTTGCCCATTTCATGATTGGATTGGATTGGATTGTCTTTTGCCCATTTCATGATTGGATTGTTTGTTTCTTTGGTGTTGAGTTTAAGAAGTTCTTTATAGATTTTGGAAACTAGCCCTTTATCTGATATGTAATTTGCAAATATCTTCTCCCATTCTGTAGGTTGTCTTTTAGTTTTGTTGACTGTATCCTTTGCTGTGCAAAAGCTTCTTATCTTGATGAAGTCCCAATAGTTCATTTTTGCTTTTGTTTCTTTTGCTTTCGTGGATGTATCTTGCAAGAAGTTACTGTGGCCAAGTTCAAAAAGGGTGTTGCCTGTGTTCTCCTCTAGGATTTTGATGGAATCTTGTCTCACATTTAGATCTTTCATCCATT